ACCATATCCATATATATCCATATATATATATATATATATAAAGCATTTGTACCACATTTTGCAGAAATCACAACCGGATCAGACCGGTTAAACGTTAGAGTTTTTGATTCAAATTATGTCATTTTTGAAAAAAAAAAAAAAGTATAAAATGACAAATAAATAAAACAAAAATAAATACTTTGTTTGTGTAACAAAGTGGACCATTAGAGCACGAAAAGCTGGCCCCTGCTTTCATGTGATTGGGTAGCAGGACAGGAAGTGTGGTACAGAGAGGGTTACGATTGGTCATTGTCCGGTGATGGGCGACCTCTTTTTGTTAGTATGTCAGTTTGTAGAGCAACCTTTTCTTTTCTTCTTTTTCTTTTTTTTATATAAAGAAATAAACATGAATACCATGGGAGGGGGGATATGAACCCAATATCTGACTGTGCAGCTATCAAAACAATTTGTACACTTAATACATCGACAGATTTGCTGTCTTTTTCACTCTTTTTTTAGCAAAAGAATTTGGTTTTTTACGAAGAGACAAGCAATGTTTTTGCATTTGGATTATTTTCTCCTTCAACAGAGTTAAAGCTTAAAAAAAAATGAAAAGAAAAGAAAGAAAAGAAAACAAAAAAGCCCCACACCCTGCCTCTAAAAATGTTGACTGTTATCGCGGACCAAAAAAGGCAATTAAAACCTGTAAAAAGCAAACACATATATATATAAATAATATATTTACACATATAAATATATATATTTATATATACTGTATATAATGTTTCTTGCTTTGTACTACACAGAATCAGGCGTTTCATCTTGATCCTAAAACAAACCAGAGGCAGGTTACATGAATAAAAATAAAAACAGAGGGGGGGAGGGGGACGTGACAGATAGCAGCTCCCCCCAAACTCCACTGATAAGCAGTGTCAGTAAAAGTTGCGCTCTGTCGCCCATCTGGCGTCACGCGTTCTTCATTCTTAAAGAGGAGAATGACACTCAGAAAACAGAAAGAGGGAAAACAGGAGGTTTAAAATGGTGCATATTTGCACACACCAACACACAAACTGCGGAAACTAACAAACAGAAAGAGACTGTATTATTACAGGAATATCTCATATATATATATACATATATATATGGATTTTTTGCACTGCATTTAGTTCACTGTTCTGCATGAAACTAGCATTGCATGCGCTCGCCTCTCCTGCGATGCATCTCTCTCAGCGAGTCATGTGATAGGTCTTGTGTTCAAGTCATTCTCTGCTCCACACGCCATCTTCCACCCAGAGTCTGATGAGCAAACAGGCAATCGGGGAGGGGGTCGGGGGGTCAGAGTTCAAGGGAATCGACAGAGGCAGGGCAGAGCCAAACAGCGCATTGAAACATATCTTACTTACATCTTAGCTCATTTTACACGTACAGTCGTGATCAAGGCACAGGGAGCTTCTACAAGTTACTTTTTTCTTCAATAAAGTTGTACAAAATAATACATTTTACAGTCTGTACAAGAATAATGATCCAGCAGAGAAATCAAAAGACAGACCAAAAGCCAGGCTAAAGGGGAGGAGAGGAAGTCGGAGGGGAGGAAGGGGGGAGAGCGACTAGGCCATCCGTTAAATGTCCTTCTCATGTCTCGCGCCATTACCTGGTCTTACCCTCGGTCTGATGAAGTCCCCACGTGTCAGTGTACAAGATTTTTGCAGCAGGGAGGAGACAGAGAGAGAAAGATGAGGGGAGGAGAAAGAACGAGAGAGAGTGAGAGAGAGGAATGACACTCGGAAAACAGGAGAGAGCAACTGGGAAAACAGGAGGTTTAAAATGGTGCATATTTGCACACACCGACACAAAAACTGGGGAAACTAACAAACAGAAAAGGGTTGTCTAGGCCATCCGTTAGACGTTCTTCTCATGTCTCGCGTCATTACTCGGTCTTACCCTCGGTCTGATGAAGTCCCCACATGTCAGTGTACAAGATTTTTGCAGCAGGGAGGAGACAGACAGAGAGAAATATAAGGGGAGGAGAAAGAATGAGAGAGAGAGAGAGAGAGAGAGGAGAATGACACTCAGAAAACAGAAAGAGGGAAAACAGGAGGTTTAAAATGGTGCATATTTGCACACACCAACACACAAACTGCGGAAACTGTTCACTGTTCTGCATGAAACTAGCATTGCATGCGCTCGCCTCTCCTGCGATGCATCTCGAGAAGCGAGTCATGTGATAGGTCTTGTGTTCAAGTCATTCTCTGCTCCACACGCAAAGCAATTTTGCTCTACATTCTGTTTTTTTTTTCTTTTAACGTACGGTCCGTCGTTTTGCTCTCCTCCGGTGGGGTCTGTCCACCTTTGGGGATGGGATGTAGTTTTGGGAAATGGGGAAAAGGTGAGGGGGACGCGCCAGGCTCGCCTAGGCACTAAACGTTCAACAGGACCAAAACGGGGGAGGATAAGAATAGCGTGTGTATGTCTTGTGCGTGCGCATCAATATAAGTAACGTGTGTTTAGGCATATGATCGGAAAAAAGACAAGTTTGACGTGTAACATACATAGGACTGCGGGTCAGGAGTTTAGCTGGACGCATTATGTGTCTGTATGTGTACGAAATGGCTTCCTTGTCCTGAGCAATTCTGGACAGTTTTTTTTCTTCCCTCTTTTCTCCCCCCTCCCTCTCCCTCTCACATGTTTTGTTTTCCTCTCTCTCTTTTTATTAACATTGGTAGTCCTTGGCTGTGTTAACAAGTCTTTTTGCCAGATATCACAGCCACGCTTTCATCAGTAACACAGTGCGTCCCCTTGCCCCAGCCCCTAGTCACTCAGGATGGAGAAAGGCCATGTGTGTGTATGCGTGTCCGTATGTGTATGTGTGTATATATACATATAATATGCATGTGTGTGTAAGAGGTGGGGACTCATCAGTTTGTGATTTGATATTGGGGCGTGATGTAGGGCAGGGGGGCCTAAAGAAAGTTCAGGTGGTGAGTTTGCGTCCCGTCATCCCTGCTGCGATCACAAGAGTTCGTACTGTCGTAGGTGCATGCGCTGGATGATGTCTCTGCAGTCGTTAAACACTCGGCGGATGTTTTCCGTGTCCACGGCGCAGGTGAAGTGGGGGTAGCAGTAGTGCCGTCCATCTCCACTCGCTGTACTGATCCTCTAAATAAACAAAACAACAACAAAAAAAAGGATGGTAATTTTATTAGGACCGGCAACATGACATGGTTTAAATTGCAATGCAAGTTACAAAAACATGTACTTAAATATCCCTTTATATATGAGCATATATATATACAGTATATTTGTATATATAAAGTACTGTTTAGGATTAGTAAGATTTTTGAAATCTCTTATGCTCACCAAGGCTACATTTATTTGATCAAAAATTACAGTAGAAACAATAACATTGTGAAATATAACAATTAAAAAAAAACTTTATTTGAATTTATTTTAAAATGTAATTTAAAATAAAAGCTTGATTTTCAGAAGTCATTACTCCAGTCAGTGTCAAATGATCCTTCAGAAATCATATTCTGATATATACTGATACAGATTTTTTTTTTATTATCATAAATGTTTAAAACAGTTGCGGTTTAATATTTTTGTGGAAATACTTTTTTCAGGATTCTTTGATGAATAGAAAACTCGAAAGAACAGCATTTATTGGAAATATAAATTTTCTGTAACATTATAAATGTATTTACTGTCACTTTTGATCAATTTAATGCATCCTTGCTGAATTGAATGGTAGTGTATTTTTAAATATAAAAGAAAAAAAATGCCATAGTTTAGGACACATGGTGATGGGTTGCTATGATGATTTTGGTGCCATAGAAGAACCAGACTCACCAAGAACTCATCTCGGATGAAATATTTTGCTCTCGTAACTCGTGGATCTTCCCCTTGCTCTGGTGTTGCTGACAGAAAGAAAGTATCTTGTTAATAACACTGATGGTGTGATATCCAAAAAGTTACTACTGTGCTTTAGATTAATATATGAATATGCATTCAATTCAACTATATGGACTAAAAATCATTATTCGATTTCACTGACCATCATCTGGTGTAGTGTAGCGTGCAAACTCGGGGAAGTAATCCTCAATTTTTGATTTTCCCGCCAAAACCTTCTCAGCCAGCAAGTCCTGCTTGTTTAGGAACAGAATGACAGAAATAGTTCGAAGCCACCTGGAAAGCAAGGAGAGAAAAAGATTAAGAGTTTTTTACATTTTCTGAAGAAAATGTGAGTGGTGCGGAAGAATACTTTCATTAAAGGGTCATGAAACCCCCCGTTTCAGCACTGGTTAGTTTTCACCACAGTTTTAAAAAATGCTAAAAAAAAGTGGGCGTGGTGCGCAGCGGCGCGGAGGAGGGGGAAGAGGGGAGACAGACAACACACACACAGCTTCGCGTTCTGACAGTTTCATTTCGCTCCCATCGAGTTAAAAACACAAATAAATGCACAGCCATTTGCACTCCTGGTTATGTCAGAGAGCTGTAAAAACGGTTATACTCACCAAGTGAATGAATCGCGTTTGTGCTGAACTCTTATTACAAAGCAAAAACAAACACTTTCTACATCCATGAACGTTTCTCTCAATTAATGTGCGCAATATCATCTCAGTCTGAAACGTCTGTCATAGCAAATCAACACATGCTGTTGTGAATAATTAAGCGAAGCATCTTCTCACAGGATAAGAAATAGCGCAAAAAAGCTTAAAATTAACCAGTTTTCTCCAACAGATAAAATTATCGGATGCTAACATTTTCTTCTATGATGTGCAACACAAACACCTCTGCTAAAATCTCAGAAGTAGTAGTCTGGGGTTTCATGACCCTTTAAGCCCTCTTTTTACATGTGTAAGCATGTTTTAGGCGTCTCAAGGGTACCTGTTATTCCAGATGTTCTTGAACAGGTTCAGTGCCTCCTGGAGTCTGTTGGTCTGATTGTCCTCTCTGAGCACCATGTTATAACTGCTGCTGGCTACCACGAAAATGATGGCTGTCACATCTGTAACAAGAGAGAAAATGTTTAAGCGTACACTTTGAACAAGCAATGCAAACAATCCATCATAAAACTATTCCTTAATTACAAAAAATTAATAATAATTAATAAACCAATATATTGGCCAGACTAATAACCTTTGTGTCAGTGAATAGATAAAACGATGGCCAAAATGACAGACCTTTCATTATTATTAATAATATTATTTAAAGGGGTCATATGATGCTGCTAAAAAGAACATTATTTTGTGTATTTGGTGTAATGAAATGTGTTTATGCGGTTTAAGGTTAAAAAAAAACATTATTTTCCACATACTGTACATTATTGTTTCTCCTCTATGCCCCGCCTTTCTGAAACGCGTAGATTTTTACAAAGCTCATCGGTCTGAAAAAGCGAGGTGTGCTCTGATTGGCCAGCTATCCAGTGCGTTGTGATTGGCCAAATTCCTCAATCGTGTGACGGAAATGTTACGTCCCTTACCATGTGATGCCTGCGGCAACCACATGTGACAACCCCGGGCTGGACTCCGCTTTGTCACGGTGAAAGCCGATCTGGCGATCCACAGCGCGAAGTTGATAACACTCCAAAGAGAAAGGAAAAATTTAAATCGCATCATATGACCCCTTTAAGACCCCTAAAAGCATAGCATTTACCATTAAAACACTGGATCCATTTCCTGCGTTCGTCTCTCTGTCCGCCAACATCAAACATACTGCAAAAAAAAAAGAGAGGAAACATCAGTTAAGCAGCCACAGATAGTTTGACATGGACCTGTTCACATCAAGCACTCATTACTACTATTAATTTGTAAAAATGATTAAGATGTTAACTGCGGTTATGAAAATACATGCAAACATCTTTTGTCGCACTGTGAATCTGTGAAAAGTTTCATGAAGGCCTCCTAGTCAAACTCACTGAAAATTAACTTTGTCCAGTTGGAATCTTGTCTCAAAGATCCCGGAAGTCAGAACTCTGCATCTGAGCAAGTCCTGAGAGACAGAGGCGACAAAGGGAAGAGTTCAAAGTTACATTTACAATAAAAGACACCTTTAAATCAGACACAATAAGAGAATGATGCCTCTTAAGAACAAGAAAGAGGATACAAGCCAAAGATATATGCGCAAATATCAATGTCTGAATCCCATCATGTGGATATTTACACACCTGATCAGTGGGAGTAAAGTCGCTCTGTTTCACAGTGTCAATCCTGTCCAGGAAACTAAAATAAAGAAAAAAGAAAAATAACATTAACAACTGTCCAGTATGTCTCAACACTTCCTTTTAATTAATAGGGCAAGACTGATTTAAGAGATACAAATAAACACCGAGTAATGCGATGACAGACAGCTGGATTTATTCCAAACAAGTCAAGACAAGGAATTAAAGAATGTCGTTATGCACAGCCCAAAGTTTAGTCATTGCCGAGCAATCACCTTACATCTGGAAAGCATCCCTAAAAAGACATTACCACATGACTACTTTATTTACAAACCGTATTGTGCTATACCGTGATCTAAATTATTTGTACTGTGAGATGATGTCATATCGTCAATCCCTAATAATCATTTGAAAAATTCTGTTGAAAAACCCATGTTCAAAAGTGAAAAAACTTTCACACGCATATTTTTCAAATCACCGCATGACACAAGTCAGCCATGGAGGAAAAAAAAAAAAAAGGCAGCTGACACAATCTGCAGCTGCGGAATCAGCCAGCAGGTGGCGCATGTTTGTGCTGGAGATCAAAGCAGGCAGGGTTCTGAGTCATAATGATCAGAGAGCTCTCAGTCAGATGCTGCTCTAGTCAATGGATTGGCTCTAGTGGAGGAAACAGAGAGGGGAAGAGAGGGCAAAACAGAGGGAGGGAGGGGGATCAAGAAACGCTGTCTTAGTCAAGCTCAGGGGCGGATTTAGTGAATTGGGGGCCCCAGGCAAAATATAGGCTGCTATCCGGTGAAAAACGGCTGCAAGATGGTGGGACGGCTCGAACTCGCCTCCTGGTCCATGCAGCTGAGATCTTAAAGACGCTCACCAGAATCAAACGTATGCAGAAAGAGTGGCCGATAACAATCGATGTGCCCAACAAAATGTTTCTCATTCAGAACTGGCTCCATTTTTAATAGATCATCATAGATCATGTCTGATGAAGAGCCTGCGTGCTCGAAACGTCACACACACTATGCGACAGTTTTTTAAAATAAATTTCTGATACTTTTGGAGCTTTGGTGTTGCCGACTTTACATTTAAAAAAAATTTCCACTTGTTTCTTAGTCGAGCACCCAGTTGAGATCGATGTGCGTGCTTTTGCCTGCTCTTTGTTAATAGATCATCATAGAAATATGATTTATTATAATGTCCATGCTGACATTATAAATCAGAGGACCATCTAATACAATATAATATTCTTTCTATAATACAATACTTTCAACAAGTTGACCCTCAACTTGTATTTTATTTTAGTTTTAAGTTTGTTTTAATAGTACGATTTTTGAATATACATTAATAATATTAATAAATATGCATATATATTAATATTTATAATCTGAAGACATCAAAATGCTTCTCATTCAGAACTGGCTCCATGTTTACAAATATCATAGGCATATGATTGATAATAATGTCAATGCTGACATTATAAATCAGAAGACCATATAATACACTATAATATTCATACAATACTCAACTAGTTGACCCACAATTTTTATGTCTACAATATATATTAATATTTAACATAACATTGAAACGCTTCTCATTCAGAACTGACACCATAATACAATATTCTCAACTAGTTGATCCTCAACTGTTTTTTTTTTTTAAATAGGGGTAAACGTACCTATTAAGCTCACGTACCCATTAAGCACACTTCCATTTTTGAGCTCAGATTATAAAAAGAAAATAATGTATTATCCTACTTGATGTCTTAACCAATTGATGTGTTTGTTACTATATACCTCCTTTAATTTCAAGTCAATCGGATCATTGCACACTGAGATATGAGTATCCATGTTGAGATATGAGTATCCATGTATCCATAGCTGTCTGAAAACTTTCACCAAAAGTGGAGCCCCTTAAATGTGCATTTTTTAGACGTTTAAGCCTTTATTTTGCGTAAGTTTCACTACTTACTATAAAATTAAGAGATTAATGTTTAGACTTGCATATTATAACCTGGAACTTGGATGTGGGATATAATTACAGTTAGATCCAAAAGATAGTTTTAGCAACATAGCGCATATGCTACAGAATGTAGTTAGCTGACTAGCTGTATAAAATTGTGTGCTACACTAATATATTACTTCACAGGCAGTACTATAAATTGACAGTTTATTGCTGGTCTGTGGTTTTACACTGCTGAAATTTTTAAAGATTTCATATTATTGTAAGGTGAGCTTAAAGGGTGCACTACTATGAAAATCACACAGCTTCAGTGTGACATCAATAAGAAAAAGTATAATTTCATAGATATTGTTAATAATAGTTGTTTGTATTAAAATATGTATGAACTTGATACACGACCTAGATTATTTATTTTGCAAAATCTTGTCATTTTAATAAATATTA